GGTCATGCAGAGGTCTGCTTTGCTTACTGTGGAAGCCCCAGAAGTGCCTTGATTTCTAAGCTATAGGTTGTGAAAAAAATCAGGTCTGTGACATCCAGGCTTGCCTTGGTCCTGCAGACTAGATTAAAGGTCTTAAGCTAGGGAGGAAGTTCCCTTTCATGGGGGAGGCAGGGATTTCTTCCCTTTTTGCCTTTGTCTCGTGTAGTATGTATAAAGCAGTGTGAAATCTCTGAAAGGCTTTGAGATGTTCCTCTGAAAGAAGCTACAGGACAGTATTACAACTAAAACATGTCTGCAAAAGGAGTAAAAAAACCTGAACATTGTACTTTTTCTACTCTTATTTATTGAAAACTCCAGCACACTTTGACAAAGCCAACTACAGCTGATAGTATTGGCTGGTCTCCACCCGTGTGTGCCCATATGCACACATTCAGCACACACCAACAAACGGTCGTGACAAGCACTGATTTATTTTTCTGCGTGTGTGCATATTAATAGTCAAGTGCTGTGTATCACAGCATCTTGAACTGCTCTCTTCTTCTCCTCCCCTCTGCATGCTGCCTGCCCAAGCATGCTATGAGGTTTGGGAAGAGGAGCATCTGCTGTCACAGATGTATCCTTTGTGAAAAGCTGTACCTGCAGCTTGGCAGAAAGGGTTGACACCTTCTGGGGAGCTTGTTGAGGCAACAGGACAACCTTCAGGTGGCCTGGAGGAGGGGCAGCAGCATCTTAATTACGCTGAAGCGAAACCTGGTTTTATCAAACTATAAATAATGAACGAGCCCTTGGTCTTTACCTGCGGTATGATATTTCTGGGAAGGTCAGGCTCCCTTGGAGCAGGGAGGGGAAGGTATGCATAGGTGTTCAGACCCAGTTCAGAGTCTGGAAGTCCCATATCTGCAGAGCAGCTCTCGTTTTCAGCAGCACAAACACAAGTGACATTTCCACCAACTGTTTTTGAAAACCCTACCAAAGATTTCTTTATACTGTTAAGGCACACGCTTACTACTGAGACAAGAAAAAAGCAACCCTGACTTTGAGCCTGTTTCTGGAAGATGCTGCTGTGGTACTTTATCTGTGCTGGAACAGACCTCTTGTCAGCAGTAACTCTCGGCCCAGCTTTTCAGTAGTAAATCTTACGCTGATAATACAGGGTGCCTCCTAAATAACTGTGCCAGCAAGGCAGACACTGGGGAGGGAACCTGCTTTCCACTTGTCTTTCACCCTGTTGCCCCAGATAATGGATTTAGAAACTACAGCAAATATCCAGACACAGTAATGTAGTACAGTTCTTTCCCCTTCCTCCACTCCCCTTTCTTAGAAGGACGTGCTCTTTTTCTCTGAGCTTTTCCTCTGCTGCCTGTGGGTGTGCATTAGGATGTAGGCACTGAAGCAGATTCTTGGAGCTGGTTACAAAACTAATGCAAAGAGTTGCCAAAAACCCAGGACATCAATAAGTGAAACTCCCAACTCCACTTCTGCCGTGCTTTATTCCATTTTACATCAGCTTCTGCATCAGCACAGGTTAAACAGGGTGTCCAGGGTTTGACAGTTCCTGAATTATGCATGTGAGTAGTCATGGACAAGCTTCAGGACGCCCCATCTACTCCCGCTGTACTGGGACACGTACACTACCACGGCTGCGCTGCACAACAGCACTGCTCAGACCGATTCCATTTCCAATAACCATCAGCCACTCATTTTCACACTCCTACTTCCTTGACAACTTGCGTTGAACCATTTACAGTCAGATTTGCAAATGCTCCCTTTTTTAGGTTTAGTTCTGACCCACACTCAAAAGTAGCTTCCATGCAATTTCTTTTCATTGTCCCTACAGAATTTAAAACTTGCCTCACAAAAATCTGCAGCTCCTTGACAAAAGCATGCTATTTACAAGCCGGGTGATCCAGCTGATGAAGGAAGCTCCATTGTGAGAGTCATATTTCCCTTCCCTGTCACAAAAAGCACCTGATGTGTCCTGTCCGCTCGAGATCAGTGAGTGATAGAAAGCCAGACCACCCTCTACCTTGCACAGTGAGGTTTAGAGCCTGGTTCCATCTGCAACGGCATGAAAAAAGTGTTCCTGTACAACACAGACTTTCCCCCCACCCCATCAGTATCATACTCCGCACTGCAAAGTCAGACCTCTGTCACTACTTGCTGGGAAGAGCTTCAGTATATCCCACCTGGTTACGAAAGGGAATGACAGTCATTGCCAGAGCGGTGGGTTTCTTCATCACACGTTTCATTTCTCCTACACCAGCCTCAACTACTCAGAAGATGTCAAAAGCATGTGTGTGTCAATAAAGTACCTAACCCAAAGCTATCTGCCTTACTTTCTAATAAAATTAAATAAATGAATTTTTCTCTAGGTACGGTGGAGATGGAAGGATTTTCTCTCTCAGCCTGCAGCCATACCCAAGATGTGTCTTCCTCTGGAAGCTGGTTTCACATGGTGGCTTAGATTTTCCCACTTTGTATCTAGCACCATTTGAAATCAGTGTTCTAGGAGCAAGAATTACAGCGTGGGAGCAGATCAAGCAGCTGCTAGCTTCACTAACGGCCTTTATTCAAACCAGCACTTTTTTCCAATTTTTTTTTTTTTTTTTTTTTTTTTTTTTTTTTTTTTTTTTTTTTTTTTTTTTTTTTTTTTTGCCAGCCATCCACTTTGTAACATCATCTGATTTCTAGACACTTACAGAACCATTGTATACACCCCCCTCAAGGCAGGGCCACGACAGGAACAGCTTCCTTTAAATGTATTTCTACTTAATAAACAATGGATACTGAGTTAAAGTTGTCCAGAGTAAAGTGATCCGAAAGCTGCATGAAAACCAACGTAGTACTTCTTGCATCGTGACAGGCAGAGGACACTTCCTTTACTATACAATCACTAGGACCCTAACATTTAATTTACTAACTTAGAGCAAATGTACTTCCACTCTGTGCTTGGGGACTCTATCACCACAGAATTAACCATTCCATAGCTCCCAGAGACTTGCTCTGCAAACACAGAAACTCCCTCCAACAATTTGATCTCAGCAGTTGAACACAAAAGTGCCTTCAGCAATCATGATGATGTCACACTGGTACACACGGGATCCACTCCTTTTTCTCGAATTATTTTTTAAGTTTATCGCTGGTTAACTTCTAGCAATGTTTCAACAGACTTCTATACCCTCGCATCAAACCACTAAAATGAAGCTAAAGTATTTTTGCTTGACCTCACTATTGTCAAACATGTTATTATACACAGAAAAGACGAGTGCTGTGTGGATGAAGCATTTGATCAGCCCACTGAATAGTCGTCTTTAAAGAACGCGTAGCTGTCATCTACAAGAGGATTCTTCTCTGAGCCAGGAAAATGTCTCTTACACAGGCTGACCGATTTCTCTTGGTGTTCAGAGTCTCAGTTTTTGTCTAGCACCATTTGAAATCGGTTATGATGTAGGGGGAAAAGCAACAGTAATGGAAAACTTCATTCCCCTGCCCCCCCCCCCAAGTCCTTATAAATAAACACCATCAAAAGCACGATTTCTCTTCACAAACACGTATGGTATGCTTTTCTGTTCTCTGACCTGAAGTTACACCTACAGGCCGAACATCCTGCACAAAAGGAGGACAGTCAGCATCACGCTCAACTAAGAGGGATGCTTCAAGAGAAAGCGAAGCATCTGTTCAAACACGTAACTAGGATTCTTCAACTCAAGCAAGCCAGGGCCCATGTGTGAGGACACAGCCACCTCACCTCCTGACCAGTTATATTCCATGTGCTATTTGTTTGCCTTAACCTGTTATTTACTCAGATTTATTTTTTTTTTTATTTTCCTTTTAAATAAAATTGTGTGCTACTTGGTATTGGGCTCTGTCTCAGGTAGACAGATTACATGTTTTCCTGCTGGACAGTATCTAACTGCTGCAAGTCTCTTCATTTCAGTCCCCAGCTCCATTTTCACCCCTGCCCCAAATATGAATCGTGCTCAGAAACGAGCATTTACGCTGATTCTAAGCGTGACACCGAGAAGCCTACCAACCACCGACACTTCACGCTACCTAACATTCAGCTAGGTAATGCTGTACCCAAGTTTTATTACTCCCACTGCGGGAACATCACTTGTTTTACCAGTAGATGGCAACAACACATTTTTATTACATGCAGCCTTTTTTTCTTAGCACAAAGTTCATGTGTTCGTGACTCTTTTAATTATCAGTTCCAGATTCTAAGATGAAATAATTCATGCGGGACCGAGTTTCAGAAAAATGGTGCAGAACTCATGACAATTAGGACAAATTCATTTGTAGTGCTTAAGTCAAATTGCCTAGTAGCTGCTACCTCATCAGTGCTCACTGCAATCCCAAAGCTCCATAGATTGTAAAGCTTTGCAGTCTACATACAATCGTTTGTAGTCCACGCCAACTGATTTCGAGTATCACGACCACAAATTCACAGAAAATATGGCATAATATTTTTCTATTCCACCCTCGGAAAGGCTTCATTCTATAAGCAGCTGACTTTGCAAAGAAAATTAAGTACATTTTGAGTGTGAGCATCACACAATTAAAAATAATCCCATTGTGCTTAAAACGCTACTTAAAAATGCCTGAACTATATTCCCCTAAGGATTACATCTCTCACACGCTGGACACAAGTGCCAGAACACTCTCTGGGCTCTGCTCCTGACTTAAGTGTTACATCAGAACAGCCACATGATAACCTGCCTCTTCTCCCATCAAGTTTTTACCAAGTCTTTCAGGAGTGAACACTGTAAGGTTTTGTCAGTTCTGGAAAATTCTCTGCAATTCCAAAAGAAAACCAAAAGGCTGCTCAGCAAATTATCACACGTTCTCTACTCTGCCATTAAGTAATTCTGTGCACAAACTGCAAACTTCCACCTCCACAGTTACCACCTAACCCAAGTCTGGTACTTGAAAAAGCATCTTAAGAATAATGGGAGAACAGCTGCTTACCACATGACGAATGAAAGACAAACACTTACTGCTAAATAATTTAACGTTTTTATTTGTAATATTACAAGTCATCACTAGTCTTTACATCTGGAAAAATAAAAAAAAAGTGTAAAAATAAGGCCATTTTTTACAGTTATTTCACTTTAGCATTAAGTGCATTTCAGCAGATTTTTAAACATTGCAGATGCCATACATAATCAGGCTAGCTAGTGACCGACACACTCAATTCCCAGTACATCATCATAGCATTTACAAACAATTATCAAACTAGGTATCAGCTAGGCAATGAACAACAAGTCATTCTGTGGAGCCAAAACCCCCTTTTTAATAACCAGAGACTATTATGAACTCTGACAATACAACTGCTGGGATTGTCCCAAAAAGCCCTGTAAAGCCCTAAACAGTTCTATGTTATCCAACAGTCTGTTCACAACAGTGGAGAGCGCTGCCAATCCACCAGACGAGCAAGAATAGTTTAAATGCTGCTTCAGCCATCTGAAGTGAGGCAATTTGGCTTTTCTGGGCAAATTGGTTCTTATGAGCTGCCTGTATGTTGATAGCAAACTCAGAGATTCACAAAGCCAAAATCTGTCCTAATTAAGCTTTTGGTTTTAATAAGGAACTAGAAGTAGCCAATATGCATTTAAAGTAACAGCTATCAACACACATCTGAGTCTCAATTCGCAGCAAACGCTGTGATGGGAGTCACAGGCTTGACTAAAACACTTCATGAAGCAAGCAGCTACCTAAAGAAACCACATCTACCGCCACTGCCAGCGCACCCATTCCTTCACTCCCGCAACTAGAGCTGCTTTGGCCTTCCTTCAGTATGAAAAGGGGGGCTGACAGGGAAAGGTTTCTGTTTCTCAACAGGTATCTGATGCTAAATCTAGCATTACTGAGCTAGGTGTAGCACTAGTCTGTATATACAGAGATTGGAAATGCTGTATGTGGATGGAATACATGATTTCAAGTCACAAAGGCAAGGAAGTTAGATCCATATAGGGGCCTTTCTACCCTGAAAAGCAACAAAGTCCTCTCCAAAACTGACATCAAAGCTCCATAAAAATCAATTGTCCTAAGGAACTTACGCTGTGCTCCTGACAGATGGCTACCACTGATTTCTCAGCAGTTCCTTCGCTTCAGTACCTTCTGTCAACAGGCCAACAAATTCAAAGATGGGCCACCTCTGCTACAGAAACCTTCAGTTTTCCATTCCAACAAACCCACTGTAGTCTTTCTGGGACTACAGCAAAGCAACAAAAATACATATGGCTTTTTTCCTTCTTAAAGGCACTGGAAAAGCTATACAACTCTGATTTAAAGGCACATTTTAATTCAGTAGATACACAGAAACCAAGTTTGGCAAACAAAGAGGTAGTATAAGTAAAATCTAAATTGTGATAGTTTCAAAAAAAAAACCATAGCCTTAAATGGCACCAATCTCTTAAGGAAATTAATAATAAACCATTTCAGAATACAAGAGAACATAATCATTTGTACCACCTCAACTGCAAAAATGAACAAGGAGCACATCTGGATTTCAATAAGCAGAACTAATATCGGATAGTCTTCTGTAAGAAAAGAGGTAGCACTGAAGGCAGCAGGCAGCAGCAGCTGGTACTATGACAGCGATAGGTCCAGTACTCCCGCCGACACACTCTTGCATGCTACAGGTATGTGCCTTTAAGGCTGTTTCACACACACAGAAAAGACAGTATGATTGGCCCATAAGGAAAAGCAGATAGATGTATATATGTTTGGGGTTTTTTTTTTACCCTATTGATGATCTCCTACTGCAGTTAATCAGCAGTGTAAGACAGAGTACAAGATATTAAGCTACAGAAACTCAATGCAAGCGCAATCGTTTTCCATTTCTGATGGGTATACTCAACTGCAAATCCCCTCCCACCCCCCAAAAGGGTCATTCATGCTTTACAGCTCTTATATTCGGCAGTACATGGAGTGCTGTCACGTTTCCTACAAACAAAAAAACAAGTCAAATCAGAGATTTTACATTTAAATAGTTTTCACATTTATTCTGAAAGCACATCCTTAGTTTTATCATTAAATCAACAGGTAAAGTCATGAAACTAATTGATTTGTCCTCTTCTTACTAAGCAACTGCTAGACCGAGGAGATTGTTGCTTTATGTCATTTACTAGGCTGTTAAGAATGACTCAAAGAGCATTTGATCCAAACGGATCATTTCAAATGATGAATGGACCATGCCTGAGTATTATCAAAAACTGAGAACAGACAGAATAGTTACAGGATTCCTAACTAATTCAGAGACTACATCAGAAGCATCCCTTACAATTTAATTTAAATACAGTATGTTGTTTAGTACATATTTTGTAACCAGAAGCTGAATATTAGTTTGTGAGAATTTTGAATCTGTAGTCCACTAACAGCAAATTTGCAATACTTAAATATATGAGGATTAAAATTCATAATTACATCCATATATATATATATATATATATATGTTTTCAAGTTCTTGAATAACTCCTGTTTTGCTTTGCAGAATAAAACCCCTACCAAGCCTCTGCACTATTGCTCTAGGTCTCTAAGGAGTTCCAGATACCGTAAGAAAAGATCAGGGATTACTAGTGTGTACACACACACACCAGACCATTAATTTCTCTTATCACTGTCATTTTCAATCTTACCTTTTGCACATAAGAACTCTATCTCTTGATTCCTTTTTTTTTTTCCTCTCTCCAAAAATAAAGCCAAACGAATCCAAAAAACTAATCCTATCTCAACTTGAACCATTTTACTTCAGAGGTAAAGATGATATTCCTTAATCCATACATTATTCTGGAAGAAACTCCAAGCTTAATTTTCACGTATGCCATCTCAAACTTAGCAAAACCACTGACAAGTCACTTGTTCTTTAAAAATACAATCGAACTATGCATTTGAAAAGACCTTTACCTCAAGTTAGAATAAGAGACAGTATTTCAACCATTGCCGCCTCAGAATTTGTGCGGTGGAGAAAAGCAACACAAATGAAGATACTAGTTATCTAGTTATTAAAAAAGCATTTGTAGTGCAAATTCTGTTAAGGTAGTAATGACAAACCAGTGACAAGGAACAAGTCAAAGCTGTCCTGTCTTAAATCTCTTCTGCTCTAACAAGGTTTGCAGGGTCAGGTGTTTGAAAGAGCCGATTTGACCCTACACGAGTGCAGGAGCAATCGTAACTGTCATCAAACACATCTGGCCACTGGACTAAGCACTGGTTTAAAATACAGCAGAGGAAATGAGTTCCAAACAAGCAACTATATTTTGACCCTTTTTAGGGCTACAGAACTCTGAATTTGAAAAGAAATGACCTTTTATAAAAAGGTTTAAAAAAAGAAGACCGCGTTTGCACCTTTATTTTTTTTTCTAGAAAGTTGAAAATGCAGATGAATCAGTAATTCTGAGAGACACAGTCTGGTTTTCTCTGAAGGGATGCACACTGCCTTTATGATTCTAGTGCCCATGTAATGTGGCAAAGTTGTTTTTCACCTCCAACAGTCTTCTAATTACAGGGAATTATTAGCTAACGAAAGTAACACACCACCAGGATCCATTTCACATTACTACAACAGGTGCAAACACTCTCCTGAGTACGTACGTAGTTTCTATCTTACGGAAAAATGTTACTCACTCTTTAAAGACAACCCAATACTAAGATACGAGATACAACCACTGGAAGCTCTCATTTATGCTACTGGATGATAATTCTGCATGTAATATAGCCTATTCTCTCAAAATGAATGAGTGGTTATTATAGTCTTCCCCATGGGAAACTGAGGTTCACTGCTAGGAAGATTCCACACTTACGAAATTCTAAATAAACCATAATTAAAAAAAAGGCACTCCATTGCAAAAATCTAAATTAAGTGGAAAGTGTATACCTTTTCAAGATTCAATTAATTCATTTGCGCAGTTTCTTCCATCTCAGCTGGTACATTAGTTTTTAAAATACATGTTTCCTTGCAACTCTCATCAACTGTATACGAGCTGAACAGCAGAAGGGGAAAAAGGTCTAATTGAATGTCCTATAAAACTGGCAGATTAAACACACAAGAGAGGGCAAGAAAAGATTTTTGCTGTAATTTGAAGACTAAAACCCAGCAAGTATGAGGTACTGGAAGCACAACAGTTCACGCAGGCTCAGCTACATCAAGAACCCAGAAAACTCAATAGGGACATCTAGGTCTTAATAGAAGGAAGATTAGATCAGGGTTTTCAGAGAAGGAAGAGGTTTAATAGTCAGATGCTCACAGCAAGGAAGCTTAAGGAAAGCATTGGGCACGGTAAGAGACTTTTCACGTTGCAAAGTTTTCAGGAATAGAACATGTTTTCATTTCCGATGACGTTGCTTGAGATCCCTCCTCCTTTCTACACCCTGAGAAGTCTCTCCACGGATGAAGGCAGAAAGTGCTGCCCTAACACTGTTAACTCCCACGTGCTCTTATTTGGACCATCCAGACTGCAGGTTATCCACGTCACAGATGAGAGCAGGGAGTTACTCAGGAGTGCACAGGCACACAGCCACTGGGCTCACAGGGCCACTGGCCCTCCTAACTACACTGTACTGCCTAGATGGAAGATACTAAGGCTAAAACCTCACTGGATATAAGCTAGCTCTAGGGTTTAGTACTGTGCATACTTCACTACAAATAAGAACCACAGGAATATTTCCTCTGGTTTGCTTTATTTATAGCATCCCTTCCTCTGCTTCACATGCCCCAGATAAATTCCAACAGATTTTATTAAAGGGTAAATCAGTTCTGATGACATGCTTAACATTCCATTCGATGTGTACCACCTAACTTGCTCCGAATTTTCAGTATTTTGTGTGTTACAAACTGTTTCTCCAACAAAACAGGCTTTTTTCAAGAAGATAAAAATAAGACATCGCTGCAAGAAGCAATGCCCGGAGGCATTTAATGCCCTGCCACCCCTCCAGGAAAAAGCATACATAACAATCAGTTGTTTTGAAGTTCAAGAGGCCCTATACATCTCATTAAAAACAGAAAAACACTGCTACTTATGCATCTAATATTTTACAGTTGATTTTGCAAGTCTTTAACATAGGGACACCAACCACTGCTGCTGCAGGAGAAAAAAAACTGAAGTGGATCCACACCTTAAACGTTCCAGTAGCAAAGCTGTCTCTTTGCTTTTTCAAACAGCACAAGAGCACCAGCTTAGGCCAATTTTTTTTTTTTTTCTCCTCACATTTTCCTTGTAACTAAGACCATGTTATTTTATCCAAGGTGCTTCTGATCCAAAACACAAACCACAGTGGTTCTCCAGTTACCCTCCACTGGGTTCCAACAGAACATCTTACTTAGAGGAGAGGAAGCTCCTTAGTTCAGCCCCCAAGGTTTCCAGTTCACATAAACCACTCCGGCTCCTCCAGCCTGTGAGACTCAGCGATGCCAGAGGGTGTTCAAGCAATAAAATAACACAAGCCCACACAAGTCGATACTACCACTGCTTTTAAGAGGTAAACTGACATGTTTTAAATGAGATGCAAACAGTACTTTTCCTCATCAGGTGTGCCTATGCCAAATGCAAGTTAAGTACAGGGTTTTTCCTTCCTTGATATTAGTGCAAGTGTTAATTAGCAGCTTATCTGAATAGCAGACACAAAGTCAAATATATTGTTAGGCAGTTTAGCTTTCCATCAGCTGCTGTGATAAGCTCACAGGCATTTGAAAAAGAAAGGGCAGATAAAGCTCAAGACACTTACATACACGTTAGCACTGCTTTTCCTCAGTCACTTAGAAATTTGCAATAATAATAAAAAAAGTAAGCTTACTCACCCATTTTGTGAAAAGAATTTCTTATAGACCCAGAAGGCTGCCAGGAGCACCACAATTGCCACAATCACTTTAGGAAGAATTAAAAAAAAAAAAAGCCTTAGAGCAATAAAGATCACCAGTACCTCACAAAAAAGCCTCACAATTTTTTAGCAGAAATAGCACTGTCCTCATCCACAGTTCTATACACACACACACACACCCAAATAGCCTTAAAATTTGCATGGCTTACTTCACAAATATGTATTTGATGCTTTACTTAAGACTCCTGAAGATAGTTCAGCTCAAGAACAGTGACCCCCAAGATGGCCAAACCCCACCAGCAAACACTAAACCAGACATGCCACCATCCTAACATTATTTTTTACAGCAAGTTCGTAAGAAAATGGTGAGCTTACAAAAGTGGGTAACAGGTGGAAGGCCAGAAGATAGACTAAGCACTTTTGTTTACTGGCACAGTTATTTATCCCATGCTTCCAGTAAACCCAAGCTCTGACAAAGTTTATAAAAGCAACTAAATGGTGCAAGTCTGCCTTTGAAATCTGATGCTTCACAGACATGAAAAAAATACGTATTTGACATAAAATTAACCTATAATTGCTAAGTAATCTTAACTTTTCTTGAACTATGCAGCCTCAGGACTAAACAAGCTTTTTAAAAATAACCAAAACTCCAAAATCATGTTATGTTACTGCAGTCACAGGTGAGAGAGTATCAATTCCACATCAAAAGGACAATCCACACCGTATCTCGTTCACGTTTTGTAAGATACTTACCACAGATGATGGCTGTAATATACGCACCTAAAAACAGAGTGAATCAGTATCACAAGAGGAACATGTGAGCTTATTATTCGAACATTATAATAACAATATTCACAAAGTTATTTCAACTAGATCAAACGCTTCTCTCAACACAATCTTTGCAGCAGGCCAGTTTATACCACAGTATTTATTTAACTTAAAATATTCCTATTTTAAAATGGATTTTACTGAAAAAATATTTTTCTTATGTCAAGATAAAGAAGGAAGCTTGTATTAAATGACTTCTCCTGAATACCAAACGATGTGCCCAAGAAGTAAAGCTTCTGTTACGTGTATTTTCACTACAGAAGAAATTCTTGCAGTTCATACTTACTTAAGTGGCAAGTTGGCACTCCAGGATGCCACAGGTTTTCTCCAATATACTGAATACGAGCTTCACCACGTAACGTGTAGCCTGCATAGCACTCAATCGTAATAAAATCCCCAACAACATATGAAGATTTTTGTCCATCAATTACTCTACCATAATTTATGACTGGAGTGAAACCAGAACCTGCAGTCTCACCTGGAAAGAGAAGGGGGGGGGGGAAAAAAAAAAAAGAAAAAAGAAATAAAATCCAAGAACAGAGCTGGTACATCAAACAGATTCAAGAAATTGCCATCAAAAAGTCCCTGCATTTGTGTAAATATCAGAAGCTCAGACAATTCTTAAGGCATTTTCTATGCCTCCTGCTTCCTAGAGGCTGCAGACAACTTCTGCTGACAGACATGCCTCAGGCACACGAACAGAAATACAGGTCTCAGCTTTGTTAGGACAAACGGCTGCATCAAAGTAATGACAACCTCTGTTTACATTCTAACAAGTGATCACATGATGCAAAGCAAGGCGAGAATAAAGTCTGCCATCATCAAAGAATCTTCAAAAACCCACTCTCAGAACAAGATCTCACACCAGCTTTTGAACTCAACCAATTTCCATAAACAAAACTAAGACTGAACAAGGACTCCATCTCTGCCAAAAACTGTCCTCAGTTGCTGAAACTCCACCCTGTGACACTCCCAAACCAAAGGTAACCTGTTGGTGCCCTGCTGACAGCCCTCTGATGTCCAGGCTCTGCACAGGACTATGTCAGACATCCAGAACTTGTCACTATGCCCTCGATTTTATCAATTACGAGTTTTACTCACATGCACAGTCTTGTAAAGAACTCCAGGCATTCTGTCCTTGACAAGTCACTGTCATCTCTTTGGTGCCATCAGGAAAAGCACAGTGAACGTTGCACTTTATCTGAACAGACTCTCCTTCTTCATACGCAGATTTCACTGGAATCACTACTCCATGTGTGATCTTTGGGGCACCACATACACGTTCAGTAACTAATATATGAATTTAAAAGTTAGTAATAAATATGAGAATTTATAAGTATTTCATAATTCATTAACTCACTCCACAAATACACACTGCCTTCGTATGAGAAAAATAGATCAGCGTACCTAAATGGTTTACCACAATTTCAAGTATAAATATTTCCTTTAGGAGACTTAAAAGAAACATCACTGCAGGTGCTAAGGTAGCATGATCTTACGACGTGGTAGCGAAGAAATTCAGTTTTCTTGGTTAATTATTTTTGTAAGATGTAGAATTACTTCCAGGTGCCTTATCAGACTCATTCATTATGGCACTCCCAAACATACTCTTTGCAGAAGTGGTTCCTGGGAACTCATTACTGGAGTAGGCATGTACAAAATTCTCACTGTACTCTCTAACAACATTCCCTTTCCCTCTAGCACAAAGAGGAAGCAGAAAGGTTACAGAAAGACCTCTGCAATGTTCCCAGCCCTGCAAATTAGTCCTGACTTAGTAATTTGCCTAATCAAAATCTAACAACATTCTACACACCACACAAGATGCCTGGAAAGGAAGAGCTGCCCTAAGAGAACACAGACACATCATGATTTTGATTACTCTAGAAGGACACTATAGGTTTCCTCATTGTGCACACTCCTCGTTCTATCACAATTCAGAAACACATCTCTTCTCCTGTATTTACACAAAATCACTAGAACAAACACTATGATGCTACTAGAGTATGTCCACGTCACAACTTCTACACGCACATCTAAATCAACACTCATCTGAAAACTCTGGAGTTTAAGAGTCACTCAAACACCTAAAATGGTTGCCCACAGCTGAGGCTTCATGTCAACTTCCTCAGCTCCCGATTTCTGACTACAGTGTTATGACTTTAAATCTTAGTTAAGACACACTTAAAAACATTCTCAACACATAAAAAAAGCTGGACTCTTATTTAAGGGCTTACTTTTTTCACAAGTTGGTGTTGGAGAAGACCAGGTGTTATTTTCTCCACAGGTAACGATGCTTGGTCCAATCATGAAATAGCCTGGATCACACTCAAATGTGACTGAATCCCTGTATCTGTAGGGAGGTCCAAATCCAGATATTTTTCTTCCATTTTTAACTTTCGGGTTATCACATTTGACCACTGAAACAGCAAAAGAACAGCTCTGAAACATTCATTAACAGCATCTTTGCAACAGACACAGCATCCTTTTATTGCTCGTAAATCTCCTTATCTAATTCCTCAACACGTTTTGAGAGGCATTGTAAAAAGATAATTCTCTTGGAGGTGCAGAAGATACTTGTTTTAAGCTACTGAGTTGTAACTGTACAGTAGAGTAAGAAATTGTAATAATTGATATAATCACAATCCACTTCCAAAAGACACGTTCCTGTACCGTGGCAGAATTTCAGGAAACAAAATTATTTTGATTAGGGTTCAAATGACAACATGCAAGCATCTGGTATTTCTTCCTACACCTACAAAGCAAGTCTTTGTGTGCTTGCTGGGCTTTGAATTTGTTCCTGCACTTGCATAGTAGCTGTGGTTAGAAAAAAAGAGTTCTTCCCTACCTTTTTACTATTCATAATCTAGCTTCCACATTCTTGCTCTTTTTTTTTTTTTTTTTTTTTTTTTTTTTTTTCAGCTACCCAGTCTTTACAGTCTCTCAGTTCATTCACTTTGTCCTTGTCACTTCTACCACCAGCATGCTCACAGATATATTTTTAAAGTTTTAACTTAAATTTCAGTTATGCTCTGTGACATAATCAATCAATACCCGTAATGCAGTTGATCTGATCTCCACTGAAATATCAAAACTTAGTACCAGAGGATGTTTCTTCTTTTCTACAGGAAAGTTTATCCCCACCCCGCTACACCCTCCCCAAAAAGGGACAGATATTGAAGCTCTGGAGTCACACAGGCTATAATAAAGAAGCATATTAAAAATCCCAACAACCTCTACATTGTGGAGGAGGTTCACTCCAAATTCCATTTAACTGTGCATTGTAAGTGCAGACAAGAGTCGCTGGGCCGATGAGCGAGAAGGGATCCATGCCCCTTGGTACATCATTGCACGTGTAGGTCACTGATGTTTGATAAACATAGTTATCAGCTTCAGTGTAGCGCCCATTGGCGATGGTTGGAGGTGGTTCACACGGAATTACTAGAAATAAACCACACAAATCAGTCAGCAGAATTTTGCTGTTACTTTGTTCATCTCAGAAACAGCAAGTCTTGATTTTCAAATAATTTAATTTAAAATATGCTATATAGCTATTTCTAAGACAATCTACAGTTATAACTGGGAGTTTCCAATGGTTACTTATTACAGGGAGTCTCAATTTCAAGAAGAGGTTGACTTTAAATAATATGAGCTAATTACCACAGTAACTGATATTTTTCAGTAGTCATTCCTCAGGCACATCCCCAGTAGTTAAAAAAAAAAACAAAACAGTCCTATTTTACCATCATTTCTTATGCTGGAAAGTTTATTGCACAGCTGTTTTTAAATGAACTACCACCATCTGAATATAAACTTAAACATGGTAGTAATTTACTTACTTTCACATAAAGGAAGTTCTCTATTCCAGCCAACACCTTTATCCTTAATTACACAGGAAATCTCATCAATTCCAATTAATCTGAATCTAGGCAGGTAAAAAATTTTTAAAGAGGTGAAACTTAAGAAATCTCTCAATTCTCAGAAAAACTGATAGAAACTTTTTATATAATTCTGTTCTGTGATTACAGGGACACAACATATCAAGTTTTTGTTGTAATGAGAATGGTATCTTATTTTTTATTATTTTGCTAACAGTCTCAACTTCCAAAACACAAGAGAAGCAAATGAGACCACTAAAGGAACTGATGGTAGTCTCACCATCTAACACCAATGCCTTAAAGTTACTAATCCTAATGAAATAAGTTGTTAAAAGGGACAAAAAAGCCTTGCAAGAGGTTAGTGCTCTTACTTGATTTGCTATACTCAGACAGGTGGGCCATTATTCAATACAATAATTTAGGCTGATGACTAATATTTATTCCCTCTGCCACAGGAGCATCAGAAAAAGTCAGAGGTAACACCCTAGTTTTCACTCTGTCCAGGCTCACTAAAAAGCTTAAGCCTTGGTTGATGCAAACAGCAAGTAAAACCAGGGAATCAAATCTAGCTGTAATTTAATTTGCTCCATGTAGCATTCAGGTGATATTTCACATCAGAACTGGAATGGAACTTGTATAAGAAAATTTGGGTTTGGTTCAAATCTGGTCTAAACAGAAAAAAAACTTAAAAGGATTCATAACTTCACCAAAATACTTACCCTGCTGCACAAGAAAGAGTAGCTTTTGAACCAAATGTCAGATCTGTCACATTAATAAAACCGTGTTTTAATTCTCCTGGATGCTTACATTTTCTCTCTAGGGGAGAGGGAAAGAAAAAAATAAATCTACATCTTTGTAGTAATGTACAAGATTAAGTCTTTGGCATATACTGCTCTTACAGTCATTAGCATTTTTCGAGCTTCATTTAAAATACTGCAGAAGACTAATTCTCACTTGAAAAACAACCAAAACTGTTAAAATGCAAAGGGAGAAAGCACAAGAGCTCATGCACGCATTACCTGTACAGAACTGCTCTATGGGCGACCACTGTAAGTCTTCACCACACGTCCGAGAGGGTGATTTTCCGGGGATTCCCATATACCCCGGCCGGCAGACGTACGACACCGTGGTTCCAACAGAAAAGCTCTTCATCGTGTTGAATCTCTCCTCGAGCTCTGCATATTGCAGCCTCTCTGGAGGCATACACGTGTCTGCCGGAGCAAGAGGAAGGAAAAAGCAATAAAGAATCTCATCAGTAAGAAGAGGGACGAGCTGAAGGTACAGTTTAGGCATTGAAGCCAGGCTAACTCAGTAGGTTTTAGGGACTCACTAGTAAAACAAAAAGCCAACATTCTTAATAGCCAGAACTAGATGTATATTTAATTAGGTTTCAATTTTTTAATTTATATTTCAATGGCATCCAGTGTCCAACTCTCCACTAACTAGTACAGGTTACTTATTCATTTGTTTTCTCAAGTTCTTCTTCAGCATTCTACCCAGACAATGCATTTCCTTCCAGCGCACACTCTTTGTCTGTTTGCTTTATTCTTGCAGCTCAACCCGTGACTTCATTCACTGTACGCTCAGCTACGGTAAAACGCCTCTTTAGATCACTCCAGGACAAACAAACCAACCGACCACACTCGCACGGTTATTTCCCTTCCTGAGACAAAAGGCCAGGCAGATCACAAAGCGGGGGTTAAAACCAAATCTAAGAGACCTAGAGACTGGGGACGTTTTGAGGTGTGGTTAATGCTGGAGATCTAAAACTCCTCTATGCTAGAGGACTCAGAAAAACACATTCAAGCCCTTATCATCCAGATTCACGCGTAAGATCCGCCCAGTCTTTGCAACACTTGCACCCGACCGAGGCCATCACCTCGCTGACAATACCCTGCCCATCTGCCTCCATTGTTCGACACCCCCCAAACCAGAAACGGAAACCTCAAGCTTGGGGTCAGAACCGGCACCCGTGAGCCCCAAAGGCAGCTCGCCTATTTCCGCACCCCCACCTTTCTCCCCCCTTTTCGCCCCAAAGCCCACCGAAGCCGCCGAGCTCGCTGCTTCCGCCGCCGCCTAAAGCCACTTCCTCCTCCCCCTCCTCCTCCTCGGTGCCCACCGCCCCCCACCCGAGCCCAGCGGCCCCCCAAGGGCCAGGGGAAGGGAGGGCGAGCTCTCTCCCTCCTCCCGGCGGCTCCCCGGAGGCCGCGGCGGCCCGCCCGGCCCTCAGCCCCTCAGCTCGCGCATCGCCTCCCGCGGCCGC